GCTCCAAAAGTTAGCCAAAAATAAGATTTTTCTCTTTTTTTTTTTTGTTTTTTTGTTTTTTCCTTCTTGTTGCTATCACAACAATATTCTTGATAGGGGAGATGCAATGGATGATGCTTGATTGGAAACCAAGGCGCCCTAATATGCTCACCAACCCATTTGGTTTTTGATTTTTGTGTGTAGTTGTATACGTATCACTACTTGACGACACCGCCACCATTGCCGCCACCACCTTATCTTGCGGATAATGATGATGAAGCAACAGTAGTAGTACCAGTAAGCCAGGAGAAGGAGGAAGGAGGAAGAAGGAAAAAGAGAAAAAAAAAAAAAAAAAGGTGTATGGCTGATAAATATTAACCAAATGCTTTGCTTGCTCCACTGATTTCCTGCAAATATTTTCAAGCTTTTGGGACAATTTTTCATTTGGAGTAGTAGTGGCCATGGCAGCTAGACCGCTTCGCTGAATAGTGTCTCTCCAGAGGTGAGATGAGAAATCTTCCATGGAGTTGAAGAGCTTCATTGTTGGAACACGAATTGGCCTTTTCTTTGAGTCGATGCATGGCTCAGATTTGAAGTGTTGATGGAACAATGTAACACCCCCAAAATAATACAATGAACTCAACCCATAAGCGGAAGAAATAATAAAGATAATGTACCTTTATTCATCAGCATTCGTATACAAAGGATAACACATGTGATATGCATTCACAAATTGTTCATCCTAAATCTACAGCATGTGTTATAATGATAAGAGAATTGGAAACTAAACAGGTAATCATATGCCCTATATGCTTACATCTTTTCAAGTCATTACTTGGTTACGACAAAAGTGAGCCTAGCTCAATACAGTCAAAGCCCTTGGCTATACAAAAGAATACAATAAACGAAAGAAGTTCTTGCTCCCAAATGTCCCTCTAAACTATTACTTTGACGAAGGCATATCACCAACACCTGAAAATAGTTTTTCTCAAATAGGACGAGCCAAAGCCCAGTAAGAATAATCTAGCATAATATATGAGATTTAACAAAGATATAACTGCAATGTGCATATACAATGCCTATGACAAAGCATTCACATTTTATATAATCATAAAGTATTAAGTTCATTTCTTAATCCATTTTCCTTCGATTCATTTCAATTCATGATCCAATTTCATTATCTTTCAACAACCCAACTAAGACTACAACTCAGTGGTTTTCCAATTAACATAATTACTACACAAACACTTTAATCTACCATTTTACGAAAATTTCATCCGCGGGATCGGCACCCATGTATATGCGCAGTTTCGGGACTTTCAGTCAGGACACTCCGACCAACTTAATTTCAATGGAGTCCATTCTCTATCTCCTCCCAAACATGGAGTACATCTCCTTTCTCCTCCAAAACATCATACATTTATAATGTATTTAAAACATAGTCATATTCAATGACAACCAACAATAGATTAGTTTTAATTTACCAAATCCTTATGCAATTTTTACAACAATCATAGCTATTATTCACCAATAGCCCAATACAGTTATTTCTAAACAGATATTTCGGCCTCGTTTGGAAACAAACTAATTTAGTAACTTTTTGACTATTTGGCTAAAATATGGGCTAAAAAAAACTAGTATGTTTGGGATGACTTTTTAGCTTTTTACGAAAAGATGTGCAAAAAGTAGAGAGAAAAGAGAATCTTTGACTTTTTAGTATGGGTTGTTGATTTTTTGGCTAATCTAGTAACTTTTTGACTTTTTAGCTAAAAGGGAAGGTTCCCAAACGAGGCCTTAATCTCAAGACAGATAATTTATTCAAAATTTTCGAAGGTATGAGGTAATACATATCCAACTCCACCATTTATTTCAATATTCATCTAATTTCATATTTGTAACACCTATTTCATTTATTTATACAAAATAAATATTTGAATCATTTTAGGGCAAACTCCCTTTTTCCAAATATCAACCCAATGGCCAAAATCAACTATTTTGGGGCCAAAATCAACTATTTTGTGACCATACAACCTTATATTCAACTTCATAACTACTTCTACAACATAGATTTAGAAACTCCTCTTTTGATTTTACAACCCAAACCCTAGGTTTGTCTATAACACTCCCATATCCTATTATCGTTACATAACAATGAATAACTAAGTTAAAAACTATATGAAGGTATAGAAAACCCCTACCTCAAAGAGAGAAGATGAGCAAAGCAAGGATGAAACTCCAAAGATGCTCAAACCCAAGATCAAAATGAAGATCTTAAGACGCTCTACCTTTTTCTTCAAGGCACTAGGGTAAATATCCCAATGGATCTAGGTGAAATAGTAGAGAGAAGATGTGTTTTAGAGAAAGAAACTTAAGATCTAGGGTTTTAGAGAGTTTTAGAGAGAGAAAAGAATGAAAAAGTGAACCTGAAAAAGTTGTCTTCACAAACTGATATATACGCAGCTCGCTCGAGCGTGAAAAGTGGAGCTCGAGCGTCAGACACATTGTTTCGTTCGAGCGCAAGAAGTGACACTCGAGCGTAGAATACATATTTTCAGAAGTTTTGCAGACGAAAGACATCGCTCGAGCTCAAGATTGGCCGTTTGAGCGTCTACCCGCTCGAGCGTAAAGTACACTCTTCCAGTATTGCAGGTCTGCAAAAATACTGAGAGTTTACAAATCCCGCTTGAGCGCAAGAATGGCTGCTTGAGCGGAGGAGCAAAAATCTAGGCAACACAGGTTTCGAAAATCAAGCAACCAACCTGTTCCAAACACACAACTACAATCCAAATGACCAATCCTAGGAACAACGAGGGGAATAAGAGATGAAAAACAACGTTGAACCATGAAACACGAGTTAGGAACATGATAAAATGTCAGGTCAAAACCGAAGTCGCTATAAACAAATTGGCCAAGTCTTGAAAAATTAATGGGTTCATGACTGATAAAGCAATTTGGTAGACATTGCTTTCTGATTCTCTAGTTGCTCCATGTTTTGCTATTGCTGCCAAAGTTGCATTCATAACCATGTCTGCTAGGTTATTTGAAACATAGCTTGTAGTATTGCTCGATAATGATGATGAAGCACCAGCAGTAGTAGCAGCAAGCCAGGAGAAGGAGTCGTGGAGGAGGAGGGAAAAAAAAGAAAAGAAAAAAAGAAAGAGAGAGAGAGAAAGCTATTTTTTGGCTAACTTTCGAAGCTCCGACGGCAAGTAAAAAAGATGTGAAACAAGATTCATGAAGAGTGGAATGAAAATTAAGCCATGAAGTAAATCCAACAATGTAAAAATGAGACGAAACAGAGTTATGACGAGGGTGATATAAGTGTTTAAATATGTGGGTTTGAATATAAAATTCTGTCCAGATTTCTGTTAGCTTAATATGACGGAGATGGATGGAAGGGCTAGATTAAAATACGAATGAAATTCTAAGGTGCCGTTTGGTAACACTTACGTTTTCAGTTTTCTGTTTATATTTACAAAATTTAAAAAACTCAAATAAAAACTTGTTTGGTAAATTTTTTATTTATAAATCAGTGGTCTTAGTTTATAAATTTGGCCAAAAAATGTAAACTCAAAAAATGTATTTCCGTTTTGAGTTTTGAGTTTTTTTTTTTTTTTTATCACCCAATACTAGCCACCCCCCGCCACCATTTTCCACCACCGTCTTCCGCTACCACCACCCCCCCCCCACCACCACCTACCACCACCACCACCCACCTGCCA